GGTAAAAGACACCTTGAAATAATTACATTTTTTACTCATTTTATGTTGTGAAAATGGCTTCGTCGGTTTGGAGAAGAATTGTAAAATGGTCAGCTGACTCACTTATAAAGGCAACGTTATTTTTTTCTTCAGATTCTGCCAGAATAACCACACTGCCCCCAAGGTGGATTTTTTCCAAAGGCACCTCAAGCACTGGTCCAGCAGCCGCTCAAGCCAGCCCTGTGCAGCCAGGGGAGCAACCCCAGCTCCTGAAGGCACTCCTGGTGGGTGGCATTGGGAGCCCAGGAGGACAGGGGTCCAGCATACTGGGGTCCACATGCTGGCAGACTGACCAACCACCCTACTCAGGTGGAGGAGGGAGGGATCCTGGGTTCACTTGCTCACTTTGTCCTGGTGATGAGTGGGGACCTTGCCCACTGGGAAGAATGAAGCCAAGAGAGAGGGCAGACCAGCCCAGCTAGGAACCCTCTAGCCGATGAACGCCCACGGTGAGAGGCTTAGACACTTGGAAAATGAAAATTCACTAAAAGATTAGATTGTGCTTAAGGGCTTCACAGGTGGCTCAGTGGTAAAGAATCTGCCTGCAATTCAGAAGACCTGGGTTTGATTCCCGGGTCAGAAAGATCCCCTGGAGAAGGGAATGGCAACCTACTCCTGTATTCTTGCCCAGAGAATTCCACGGACAGAGGAGCTTGGTTGGCTACCGTCCATGGGGTTGCAAAGAGTTGGACATGGTTAAGAGACTAACACTAATACAATATCAGAACCTTCAACCCAGCTGGGTCAGAATACCTGGCTTTGGTGCCAGTGCAGCCCCTGAGTGTCCAGAGACCTTGGGCAGGAGCCTTTCCATCTGTTACCCCAGATATTTTATCATCCAAAGCCTCCTCTGCAGACACACGACTTGTGGATATATTTTTTCAGGAACTGACTTGACCTTTCATTTTCTAAACAGTGTCTTTTGAAGAACAAAAGCCTTAATTTTAGAAAATTAAAATTTAAAAGTGAAAGAATTACATATATGTATAACTGTACACACACAGTCATATATGTATATATGACATATAATAAATACACAATATATAACACATTACATATATGTGTCACTTTGCTATATAGCAGAAGCTAACACAACATTGTAAATCAACTACACTTCAGTAAAATATTTTAAAATTTGACGTCATTTTTACTTTTGCTTCTGTTTTAGAAAATCTTTGTCCAATCCAAGGCTACCAAAATTCTCTACTGTGTCTTCTCTAAAAGTTTTAGTTTTAGTTCTGCTTAGATCTGGGATCCAGTTTGAATTTGTTTTTGTGTGTGGTAAGGGTTGAAGTTCATTTCTTTGCATTTGCGTGTCCAGTTGTTACAGCACCATTTGTTGAAATGTCTATAGTTTTCCCACTGAATTGCCTTGGCAACCTTGTCGAAAACTAATTGACCAAATATGTAAGAGTCATTTGTGAACTCTGTTCCATTGATCTGTTTGTCCATCCTTTCATCAGTACCACACAGTCATGACTCTAGCTTTACAATAAGCTTTGAGATACCATGCAAGCCTTCCAAATTTTTTCTTCTTTTACAAAATTATTAGCTTACTTTAGGTGCTAAAGTATTTCCTCATTAACTTTAAAACTAGCTTGTCAGTTTCTATAAGAAATCACTCTGGGTTGTTAACAGTTATTTCTTTGAGTCTATAGATCAATTTCAGGAAAAATTTCGTTCTAACAATACTGAGTCTTCCATTCCATGAACATGGTATATCTCTCCATTTGTTTAGATCTTTTAAAATTTATTTCAGTGATATTTAGTAGTTTTCAGTGTATGAGCCTCACACACACTTTTCCCCCCCCTTTAGTTAAACTGATTGCTAAAAGCATCATTTTTATCCTATTATAATTTAAAAAAATTTAATTTCCAAAAGTTTATTGCTAGTATGTAGAAGTTCAATTAATTGTTGTACATTGACCTTTTGTACATTGTGATCTTGCTAAACTCACTTATTAGTTCTTGTAGGTTTTTTGTAGTGTCCTTTAGATTTTGTATATAGATAAGTATGTTAGTTCCACCTATTTCTTCTTAAGAGAACATTAGTAGTTTTTTGAGAAATTTACACTTTTCATCTCAGTTTTCAAATGTATTGGCACAAAGTTGCTCATAGCATTCCTTTATTATTCTTTCAGTGTCTGTAGGCTTGGTAGTCATGTCCCCTCTTTTATTTCAGGCATTGGTCATTTTCATCATTTCATTTTTCTTCCTGATAATTTTGTTTAAAGGTTTATCAATAAAACTTTTCAAGAACAGGTTTTGTTTTTATTGATTCTCCTTATTGCTTTCTGTTTTCTATTTCACTTATTTTTCTCTTTTAGCTTTATTAATATTATTTCCTTCTGCTTACTTTGGATTTAAATTTTCCTCTTACGGAGGGAGCTTAGATTATTAACTTGAAATTTTTCTTCTCTTCTAATTTAAGAATTTAGTAAGTTTTCCTCCAAGAACTGCCTAGCTGCTTCCCACAATTTAAAAATATTGTGTTTTCATTTTTATTCAGTTTAAAACATTTTCTAATCTTTTTGTGATTTATTTTCTGACCCTTGAGTTATTTAGAAGTGTGCTGGCTAGTTTCCAAGTATTTAGGGATCAGAGATTGTCTATTACTGACTTCTAGTTTAATTCTTCTGTAGTCAGAAAACATATGTTGCATGATTTTAGTCCTTTTTAAGCATATTTGAACTTGTTTTAGGACTCAGAATACAGCTTCTCTGAGTGACTCTCTCATGTGCATGTGGAAAAAACTTGTATTTTGCTACCGTTGGGTACAGACACATTTGGGATCACTGTATCCTCTTCAAGAACTGTTCCTTTACTATTTTTTGACCTCCTTCTACTTTATTTATTTTTTAAAGATGAACATTTTTAATGACAAAAGGTGCAGTTCGCAAAGAAGATAGACATCATACATCATCAGGTACCTAACAACTAAGAAACAAGGTTACATAAAGCAAAAATCAGAAGAAATATAAGGGAAATATATATATATATTTATGCTGATTCCTTATTATTATGACATGTCATTCCTTGTCCATGATAGTATTTTTTATTCTGAAATAAACCTTTATTGATGCTAATATAGCAGCCCCTGCTTTCTTTTAGTTGGTGTTCATATGGTGTATCTTTTTCCACTCTTTTAACTTATCTATGTTTTTCTTATTTAAAATGAGTTTCTTGTAGACAGCATATAGTTGGATTTTGATTTTTTTAAATCCAGTCTTACAGTTTCTTTCTTTTAATTGGAAGGTATAGGCCATTTACATTTAATGTGATTATATATTTGGTTGGGTTTAAATATACTATCTTACTATTTGTTTTCACATATTTCTCTCTTTTTGTTCTTATTTTACTGCCCTCTTGAATTAAATGAATGTTTTCAAATATCCATTTTACCTACAATATTAGCTTATTAGCACTACCTTTTCTTTTTAGTGACAGCTCTAGAGTTTACAATACACATCTTTAACTTATCAAGATGCTTTCAAAGAATGTTATACCACTTCACATATAGTGTAAAAACTTTACAATGTGCACCTCCATTTCCCCTTTTCTGTCCTTTGTACTATTATCAAAAATGTCACTTATAAAACTTTTAATATATCATTACTATTTTCTCCTAAGAAGTTAATTATGTTTTAAATTTTTAAAAATTTAAATAAACACTCTTTTATCTACCCACATAGTTATCACTTCTAATATTCTTTCTTTGCGTGGGTTCATATTTATATCTGCCATCATTTTTCTTTTGTGTGAAGAATGTAATTTAATAGCTATTATAGTGAACTGATGGTGCTATACTGACCATAAATATATGGTTGTATATATATGGACCATATATATATTATGATGATATACTGACCATAAATTCTCCTCTCTTAATTTCAACTGAAATATTATTTATTTTGCCTTCATTTGAGAGATATTTCTATTGGGTACAGAATTCAAGGTTGAGAGTTTTTTCCTTCAGACTTTGAGGAAGTCTGTTCATTGTTTTCTGGTTTACATGGTTTCTGGTGAGAAATATATCTATGTGCCTATCTTTGCTCATTTGTACACAATATATCTTATTCTCTGGCTGCTTGTAAGATTTTCCCTTTATCTTCTTAGCAATTTGGTTATGATAGTCTTGGTATGATTTTCTTTTTGTATTTTTTTTTTTTGCAGTGATTTTTGTTTGTTTGTTTGTTTTGTGGGCTTTTATGCTTTGGGTTTGTTAGTTTTGTTTTCACTTGGGATTCATTGAGATCCTTGGATCTGTGAGTTTATAATGTTGTTATTGTTTTTAATTAAACTTTTAGTACTTTCAGCAGTGATTTCTCCAGATACTTTCCTGTCCTTCATCTCCTTCCTCCCTGTCAGAGATGCTGATGACATGTGTGTTTGACTGCTCTTATTACCTCACTGATCGCTGTTGCTCTCTTCATTTTTTAGTCATTTTTTTTCTGTATCTAACTTTGGATAATTTCTATGGCTCTCTTAAAAGATCCCATTGATCTTTTTTCTTTTTTGAAAAAATTGCTACAGCACCGGTCTTAATCCCATTCAGTGTGTTTTTCCATTTCAGATAATGTACTTTTTCACCTCTAGAAGCTCATTTTGGGTCTTTTCTCTCTCTTCTATTTTCTCCTCATCATGTTTATATTTTCCTCTGCCTTTTTGATGACATAGGTTATACTTACACTAGTTTCTGTAGTGCTCATTTATTGTGTTTCTATCATTTTTGTCAAATCTGGGTCTATTCTTAGTTATTGATTTTTCTCTTGGTCATGAGGCATATATTCCCACTTCTTTTCATGTCTGGTAATTAAAAATAAAGCTATATTTTATTTCGTGCTTCAAAAAGTTGCAAAACAGCACACAGAGTCTCAATATACTCTGTTCATCCTGTCCTGTGTTAACACTGTACCTCACCCTGACACAGTTGTGCAAGCCAGGAATATCATCTTGACACAATGCTATTGACTTATCTATACCTTCACTTGAATTTCATCAATTGTGAGAATGTGGGACACTCAGGACCCATCTCTCAGCTCACCAGGAACTCTGGGCTCCGTTTAGACTCCCTGCCCTGCCCTGCAGCCTGGAAACTCTCTCCAGACTGTGAGCTGGGCCACAGGAATCATACACTCATTACAAACTCAGACAAACAGAGTACCTCACACCTGTCTGGGCAGGTGGTACATTTTGACGAGCACCATGGAGCTCCAGTGGAGAAGGAAATGGCAGCCCACTCCAGTACTCTTGCCTGGAAAATCCCAGGGACAAAGGAGCCTGGTAGGCTACAGTCCATGGGGTTGCAAAGAATCAGACACAACTGAATGACTTCACTTCACTCATTTCATACTTTATCACTGGAGAAGGAAATGGCAATCCACTCCAGTATTCTTGCCTGGAGAATCCCATGGATAGAGGATTCTGGCGGACCATGGTCCATAGGGTCGCAGAGAGTCAGACACGACTGAAGTAACTGGAGCTCCAGGGGCTTGCCTCATAGCTCAGTTGGTAAAGAATCTGCCTGCAATGCAGGAGGCCCTGATTTGATTCCTGGGTCAGGAAGATCCCCTGGAGAAAGGAAAGGCTACCCACTCCAGTATTCTAGCCTGGAGAATTCCATGCACAGTATAGTGCATGGGGTCTCAAAGAGTCAGACATGATTGAGTGACTTCCACTTTCACTTTCATGAAGCTCCAGGGACCTCCCACTCAGGGTCACATAGTATCAACCAGAGACTTATTCCTCTGTGCTTTAAAAATAGGAATGAAAACCTTCAGAGCCTCACTACCACTGTATATCCTGAGGGAGGAAGGCAGGAAATGAATCTTTGTGAAATATACACCTCCTGTGAGGTGTGTTTTCACCTTCATCTCACTGAATCTATCTTGTCCCCAATATACACCTGAAGCAGCTACCACAATCTACTCTGTCCCGTGCACACACGTGAGGTGTGCACCACAATCGACCTTGACCTGTGTACACACCTGAGGGAGGTACTGCAATTCACATCTTGTTCCCTGCACACACCTGAGGCAGGTATTGCCATGCCTATTCCCCAGGCAAGGCCCCGGAGGAGCCTTTTGGGAGTTCACACAGATTTCAGAGCTACAGAGTGCAGGCGTCTTTCCGGGTTTTCCTTGAGGGGAAACAGCTCACCCCTTCAGCTCCTCCAAGGGTGGGGAGAGGGCAAAGCATTGGGAGGCTCTCAGGAGCTCAGAGCCCACCCCAGACTCACCTCCTTCTTGAGGCCTCCTGCCCTCCCCGGAGCCACACTGGTCTTGGGGAGCAGTTACCCCTGATCTTCTGGCACCTAGCGAGTCCCCACATCTATCTTTATGCCCAGCTGAGTTAACAGACAAGGTATTTAAGGAAGACTTTGAGATCAGATGGGCAAGTTTCTGGGAAAATACAAAGTTTTCTCTGAAGAAATAGAAAACTTAAGTAGAAAATGGGAATCAAAGTCCATACCCTTCTCAAAAAAGAGCATTACACCAAGGCAGTTTGCAGATGAGTTCTTTTAAGGGACAAATAATTCTTACATACATTTTTCTAGAAAATAATACAAGGGGTAAAGCAACCTGTTTCATTTTAAGAGACAGGTGTCAGTTTGGTGCTAAATCTGGATCAGGACAACAAAAAGGAAGGAAGTAAAGGTCTTAGAATCTTTTTACACACAGACAGGAAAATCTTGAGTAAAATAATGGCTCCCTGGATCCAACCATGTGTTTTAAAATACACACACACCAGAGTGGCTGAATTTTGAAAGACTGAACCCCAAATGCCAGTGAGACTGTAGAGTAGCTGGAACTCCCAACAGTGCTGGTGGGTGTTTGGGGGAAAGATCTGGTGGTTTCTTATAAATCTAAGCATATAATTACCCCATGACCCAGAAATTCCCCTTCAAGATGTTTACCCAACAGAAATGAAAACATGTCCAGAAAATGACTTAACATAAGAATGCTCATAGCAATTCTAATGATAATGTCAAAAAGCCAGAAACATTTCATGTGTCCATCAGTGGGAGGATCAAACTCTCCTTAAAACCATGAAATCAGCTGGACTGCTGATCCACCTAAAGACACAGCAAACCCAAAAACCTTCATATCCACTAAAGAAGCCAGACACAAAAGGGTACCTACCATGTAACTCAGTTTATGTGAAGTTCTGGAGCAAGAAAACTAATTAAGGTGAAAAAATCAGAGCTCTGTTTACCTCTGGGGAGATGAGCTGGATAGGAATGTGAGTGAGATTTGGGGGGTGACTGTTCTGCAGCTCCTGTATTTGGGTCACACACAAAGGTGAGTGCATTTGGCAAAGTCACTTATAAATTTTACTACAAAAGAAATAAAAAGGACACTTCAGAAATACTGAACTCAAGTTATAGATGGTGGTGGTTTAGTCACTAAGTCGTGTCCATGACAAGTTAAGGATATACTTGCTGAAATATTTAGGGGAAAGTGAGCTGAGGATTGCAACTTACCCTTGAAACGTATCAAAACATAAAACGAATTATTGGATGGATAGAGGGAAAGACAGATGAATAGCTATGTAATAAAAGACATTTAGCAAAATATCAATATAAATGGTATACAATATTAGTACATTTTATTAGTTATATATTAATCTCAATGGCAGGTGTATAGATGTTCAATTGAAAATTCGACTTTTTTAATATATTTGAAAATATTTGTAATAAAATATTGGGAAAGATAAATCATGATCAAATATGGTTTATCTCTTCCAGGAATGCAAAGATGGTTTAAACTCAGGAAATTGATCAATTCACATTAAGGGCTTAAGGAAAAGTTAACAGGTGCAGAAAGAGCATGTGATGAAGCTTTAGCACTTCAGGTCTTTCTAAAGCTGCTCAGAGAACTAGGAATAAGAAGCAGCTTTCTTAACTTGGTGGTCTTCAAATAACCTAAAGCAGGTTTCTCATGTCACAGACTTCAGAATCCTCTCTGCCCCTACATGACTGTTCAAGGTCCTCACACCTCAATCATAAACAAACAAGAAATAAGGCATCGAGAATGAAAGGAAGGAATTGACTTACTGTTATTCATAAGAATAAAATAGAATAACAACAAAAAAAGAAAAACAAGAATGATTATATAGTGCTCACTCATAATAACAATTCTAAATAACTTAAGACAAACAACATCAACAACAAAATAATAAGTGAATTCAGTAAGATTCCAGATTAGAGATTAACTCAGAGCATTTCTCTACATTGACAGCAATCAATCAGAAAAAATAATAAAAAAAAATATAAGATGCCATTCACAGTAGAAACAAGTCTCCCGTGTACCCAGGAATTAGTCTAATAAAGAATTCACAAGACTTTTCAGGAAAATGCTCAATCTCTATTAAAAAGCATGAAACATGATGACTAGAAGTGACATGGATGGGACAACTCAACATTGTAGGGACAGCAGTTCTTTGTTTTGTCTTTAGAGTCAATTCAATTCCAATCAAAATCTCATCAGCGTGTTCGGAGGATCTCACTAATTTATGCCAACAGGGATGTGCCTGAAAACACCTAAGACATTTTTGTAAAGAAGAGCAAGGCTACTAAACACTGTGTGTGCTAAGTCGCTTCAGTCGTGTCCAACTCTTTGCGACTCCACAGACTGTAACCCATAAGACTTCTATGTCCATGGGATTCCCCAGGCAAGAATACTGGTGTGGGTGGCCATGCACTCCTCCAGGGGATCTTCCTGACCCAGAGGTTGAATCCGAGTCTCTTACATCTAACCTGCATTGGCAGGTGGGTTCTTTACCACTAGCACCACCTGGAAAGCCCACTAAACTAGACCGCTGCAAAACTACAGGAATAAAGCCAGTGAAAGAGATCATGGTGTGAGTGTGGCATGTGAGCTCTGAGAACAGAGCTCAGAAAGAGGTGTAGGTGGCATGGGTCTCATTTCTGGAGAAGGGACAGACAGTGGCCTGCGTGCATTTGGAAAACAGACTCCCTCTGTGGGGGCAGGGGGGGAAACCGTGCACACATGCTCTTTTGTTGGATCAAGGCCTGGATGTGAATGATAAAATGATATCAGTTTTATTAATGGAAGGAAATTTGGGGGTGATATCTTTGTCATCTGGGGGGCAGTAATAAATTCTTACATTAGACCTTGTAGCTGGAAATTCTTTCCTTGTAGCTGGAAATTAAGGGATCTTGCTCCATGTAATTGGAGATTTAAACAGATACAAAATAAAAATTTGTTGTTGTTCAGTGACTCAGTCATGTCTGACTCTTTGCAACCCCATGAACTGCAGCTTGCCAAGCTTCCCTGTCCTTCACTATCTCCTGGAGTTTGCTCAAAGTCGTGTCCTTTGATTCGGTGATGCTGTCTAACCATCTCATCCTCTGTTACCCTTTCTCCTTTTCCCCTCAGTCTTTCCCAGCATCAGAGTCATTTCCAATGAGTTGGTTCTTCACATCAGTAGCCAAAGTATTGGAACTTCAGCTTTAGCATCAGTCCTTCCAAAGAATACTCAGGGTTAATTTCCTTTAGGTCGACTGGTTTGATCTCCTTGCTCTCCAAGGGACTCAAGAATCTTCTCTAGCACTGCAATTAGAAAGCGTTAATTCTTTGGCAAAATAGTTAAAGCTATCCGGTCTAGTGAAGAATATGGTGGGGAAAGTTTGTGGCATGAGAAACTACAGTTAAAATGACTGAGTGATTAATCCAGACTGTAAAGGACAGGCTACCACTGATAGAATCCACACGGGGGAAACTTTAGTGGCCAACACTTTCATGGAGATTTTTCAGATTCAATAGTAACCATACAGATGCAAACTTTAAAAAAGGTTTTCCACCTCCCAAACAACCAATTTGCAGAAATTTGAATGTCCAATAATACCCAGCAGGAAGAGAGTGTGGGAACAGGGACCCCTGTCCTGTAAGTGGAAATGTCCAGAGCAGAATCGAGCAGAGCTTTGTGAAACTGCTCTATCATCTGTCACCCGCTCCAGAGACCTGTTCCCAGTTCCACAGAGGGCACTGGCGGTGCTTGTCTCAGGGGGACATGGGTACCCTCTGCAGGGAGCATGGAGGAAAACCACTGAACTACCAGAGACAGAAGTCTGGGGGTCAGTGCTGCCAGGCGGATAGATCTTTAAAAATATGCCGGTGATTGAAAAGTTTGTGAAGCCATGTGAAACCGACAGGTCAGGAATAAATTAAACACATAGCACATACACACGTGCACACACCATGTGCAGCACAAAGCCCTGGAAAGAGGCCCCGCCCCTTCACCAGGGCTGGAGATGCCTCCTCTGGGCTCAGGGGTTTTAGCAGTAGGTGAGGTGGCAAAGGGA